GAGACTTTGAGGTCTGAAAATAAGAAGTGGTGCTCACTCGGTAAAATGACTAAATTTTCTCCACTGCATGAGACTATGATGATTAAGAATAGCTGGTATTGACATGATTTCCTACTTGGCAAGTAACTCCTGTTCTTCCTGGAGACAGTCCTACCCTTCAAAGTGTATTTTGAAATTAACCATGACCCTTTTTAATACTTATTTCTGTTGATCTCATTTAATGTATAAAAATTTTTTTTTTCTTCAATATGTAGGCTTGGTATGTTGTTGTGTATGTTGGTATGTTTCCCTCTTTCCATTATATACTTGGGCATTTTCTCTTGTTGCTTCTGTGGTTATTTTACTTAATGTGAGGGAGAGGGAAGTTTTTATTAAAATAAGGGAAAAGCTGTTTTAAGACCACAGAAAGTGCCACGGGACTTGATTGTCCAATTTGGAATCAGACTACTTTTAAAGTAGTTTGAAACTGATACCTCATCGAGATTTCATGATTTGGGTACCCTTTTTAGCTGAGTTCTGTGTGACTGAGACAGTTTTAGTTACTCGCTACATACTTTATCCAAACTTTCTTACCCTTTCAATTCTGAGAAATAATTCTGCAGAACTGAATTGAGTTGTTCTTATAGTAAAACCCAATCTGAATTGACTCTTATTTAAACCAGCTGCTATTTAATTTCTCTTTTAATTGTATTTTAATTTTTTGCAAAGTGCTGATGTCTTTCATTGAACCACCTGCTCTATGCAGCTCAAGCTCTTGAGGGAGCAGCAATATCCATTACACTACGAGACATGCCTTTCTATTTCCCACTACATATGCCAGAGCCGAGTTCTGCTTTGTTGTCCCAGGCTATGAACTCAGATTTTGTAGCCTAATACATGTCATAAACATGTTGCATACTGTTAGATATCAAACACCAGATACTGCTGCACTTTTTTTAAACCCATGCTTTTATGGCTTCCAAGTGGAACTGAACTTAGCTTGGTTCCTGCTGTGAGTTCCAGACCTTAAAACAATCTTCCTCTGCAGGTTTGTATATTCAATATGTTATGTGTGGGCCATACGCTCTTGTGGAGCCTGGGAAAAGATAGGGACTTCTGATTCTCAGGGACTGTCAAAATTGTATGATAAGATGTACACTTAATATATGTTGTGGTAGAAAGATTAAGTGGGTGTGCTTTATGCTCTGCCGATTGCCCTGTTGTATGGTGGCCATTATAAGCTAAAACAAAACAAAACATAAATCTGGGTTGTCTAGTTTGATAGCTGGGAGGATAAAGTATCAGTAAAGCAGATAGTAGGGACAGAAGGGTACAGCAGTCTTTGTTTCCAACCCGAAACATACTCTTGTTTCTATTTCCCTTCTACCCCTGGTTATTTTCTCAGGCATATTAATATGGCAATATTGTATGTGCCCTTAAGTTCTGAAACAACCTTCAGACTGCGGATGTCTGAATCTATAAGGCTCCGTCTCTTTCTCTGCTGGAGATTTACTGCCATTACAGCCACCAGTAACTACACACAGATGCAGCTTCCATAGTGTGTGATCCTCATGTAGACAGATAACGTTCCTTTTAAAACTGGTGGACAAAATATAAATTATAGGTCATAATGGTTTATTATCGCTACATCAAACACTTGCACCAGGCACTGACTGAATTGCCACAAATCCTTTTCTCAGACGAAGTTTAGTGTAGCCTTAATGCAGTCCCCAGTATTGATGATTGTTCCCTACTTACTTTCCGTTTGCTTTCTTAGAAGTCAAAACTGGAGTCAGTAAGGCACACTACTGCCAAAACAGATGCAGTTCATCTGCTTCCATCCTATAAATACAGGAGTGGTTTGTCTGCAAGGAGTTCAATGGTGCTACTACATGAATGGGATACTAGCTGTGATCTGTCAGGAGTAGTTGCAAATGAGCACTTGGGCCAACATCCTCCAGTACTTCACAGAGGTATTTCCTTTGTATATGGGTCAAGACACCTTTATATTTTGTATTGCACTGAAATGCAGCGATTAGTGGCAATAATTAATATTGCTTATACTACTACTTAGATACAGTATTTATAGCTTTAAGTTAATTATCATGACTATGAATTTTGCTTGGTGTTCATCGGAACCTACATAGTGCTGTTTGTGCCTCTGAGTCTGTTGGTTGGGACTTGGCGGCAGTGGTTCTTGAGTTTGCTGTATTACCATGGAATGTGAAGCCCTGGCATTGCAGCATACTGTCAAGGCTTTTAGGCTTTTGCAGTCTAATGGAGAGACAGACTCCTCAGTATTTGCATATTCTAAAATTTTTTTAATATGGATACTACTGGTTACCTGTTAGTGGTGAAAGCAGCTGTTGTGGGAACAGATTGTGTTTGGTTTTTTTAAAAAAAAAAACAAAAAACAAACAAATATCCCAGCATTATTGGCACAAGTGAGAAGACAACAGAGGCATACAAATACTTCCTCTGGCTAAAAAGGTAACACTAAAAAAAATGCTAAAAATAAAAAGCTTTGATTCCAAAACTTAATGAATGAAAAATCCTTTACAATTAAATTTTAAGGGAGGTATTTTACCTTTGAGATGGTAAGTACCAGAAATAGGAAGAAAGCATAATTTATTGGAGTAAATTCCTTTCACCTTGAAAATGGAAGGTGGGAAGTGCCATAGTAACTTGTATTATTGGAAGCATATGCCGTAAACAGAACAACTAAATGTGCATTTAATACAGTTTCTATAAAATACATTTTCCTTAGATACAGAAATTGCTTTGATTAAAAATTTTCACCATGGTGGGGAAAAAAGGAAACTAGAATGCACCTACAACTGAAACTAAGATGCCTTAATTATATGGTGTTTCTACTGCAAATCACATAATAGCTATATTAGGGAAATGTTGAAAGCAAAGAGTGTTGTAATCTTAAAGTCTTTAAAAAGCTATTAAAATACTTTTAATTACATTAATCCTAGATTCTTTTTTAATAGTGGTTTTCTATTGATAATTGAGATCATACAAGAAAAGTTATGTAGTAAAATAGGTTTTAAGCATCGATCCTGCAAGCAGTTACAGCACACTGGAGTGAACATTTCCAGTGTTGCCTGTAAGAAGTCTGTTGAATGAGGCTGTTGAATGTCTATAAAGTTTATTCCTGTGCACAACTGGGAGCACAAATGAAGCCTGTGATCAAAACTGGATGGCATTCTTGGATGAATAGTCCAAGATTGTCCTTGCGCACCTCTGAGCCAGTCCTAACATTTTTGATCCTCCCTCCAGATTTTATTTTTAACTAGCAAGATTTTGCCTTGCTGTTACCATTATAAATTCCTGTAGGCTCCAGACTTCTCCCCCCATTTCCCTTTCCTCTTAATGGTCATTGACTTCTCAAGAACAAATTTCCCTACTCTGCTTCCTTTTTTAATACCACTAGAAGTAAAATCAATCATTTCTGTGAGCATATGCGTTTGTGAAAGGAATTAATTGCATGTAAAGTTCTAACCACTGCAAACTGCCCCTGTGTCTCGTCCAGCTCACTAATTCTGGTTCTACTGCTATTACCTACTTTTTCCAGGAGTAAAATTAACAGCCAACACCATAGGATTTAATGATCATTTGAAAGTTATTTTAAAAAGTGGTAAGTCTTTGAGTAGTGATATATTTAGTATGCACTATGTTACTAATGCAGTAACA